GTTAGATCAGCATTCAAATAGGGAGAGACAAAAACAAAAATCAGAAGGATTGAACAAACATGTTTATGACAGTGAACTAGATTATCTTCTGTAATTGTTTCTTCTGCATTACCAAAAGGTTTACCCCCTGACTCCCACCAAACGGCACAGAATTTCCCTCTGCGACAAAAAAAAATTTCCTCAATATACAGGTAAAGAAGACAGGTCAAAAACTTAAACCAGCAATCTTCCAGAAGAGAGGACATGATATTGGCATGAGGTATGTTAAGAGGATCATGTAAGACCCTGTGCAACCTTGGCACTGTTTGGTGATGATCATGTAATTCTGAGAGCTTCCAAGTCACTCAGAGATCCAAACCACCACCTAATGTTTTAACACCCTCTGCTCTTCTTTGATGTAGAAAACAACTCTATGAATTAGAAAAATATCTCTCTATATGTATGACAATAATTATAGTTATATCTTGACTTACTGTATCAGTATAGACAAATTGGGTATTACGGACTTCACTTTATTTGGCTGAACAAAAAAAAGTCATAATTGTCCTTGCTCACGAACTCTTATAGTGGCTAGTCTCAAATGGAACTTGTGTGGCTATTTGATGTCTACCAACTACAGGTCTTTTTCTTCCACGTACCAGCAAAATGACAACATTTCATGCAAACAGTGAAGTAGCACAGATTTGTAGATTATACAGATGTAAGGGAATACCCTAATCATCTAATTAAATACATAAAAAACCATATACAGAAGTAGCACAGACTTCAACCTTCTAAATGAGAGCCTCAATAGTAAATTCACTCGTATTGATCATGTGAATTAGCATTATTTTCATTACTGAGGACTTCTAGTCTCCCATTGCTTCCTGAGTATGTATTTAAATCACCATCCAAATTCAATAACAGGACTATTTAAAATAGATGAGTAAATTTTGCCTCAATTTTAAAGACAAAACCAAAAAAAAATCCACAATAGAGCAAAATCAAACCACAATGAAATAAAAAAAGCCCAACACTGCAAGCTCATTGAAAATTCTGTAAGACTCATCATTTCACAGAATCAAAACTGTGGGATGGGAATAGCTGATTTAGCTTGAAAAGTTAATCCATACAAAATGCATGCATTTCCTTTCTTGCTGTTAGATCTTAAGAGGACTTCATAAGGTTATCATCATTTGCTCCCTCTGCCAAAGATAACGTATCTAGTACATGTACTTTTAAGCTAATTTAAAATAAACTCAGGCATTTGTTTCCACTTGCCCTTGTTTCCATGTCAACAGCACTTAATGAATGCATCATTCCAGGAAATGTCAATAAGGAGCAAAGAAAAATGGACGAGCACTGAAAACTTCACACATGGCATGAATTCTTCACAATCATATCGCTTTAATGAAAATAGGTGAGGTCACCTGCAGCATTCACAAATGCTTTGTAATACATTCTGACCCAGATGATTTTTCACAGTTCACTAACACCACGTTTGAAGTTTTCACTGCAAACAATACACCCACAGGACTGACCAAGTGCGAGTACAACAGAAGCAACCAGCAATTACTGTGTTGACTTCTGTTACTTTGATCTCCAGGTCATGACCTTTGTTTTCATGCAATCTTCAAAGCAGAGATTGTAGGCTAGGTTATTTTAGAGGACACACTGTTTTGCAAGCTATTTTTCGGTGTTTCTTGCTTGCTATTGAGCCACAAGCTTTTCAAACTTTCCTATCACCATTACATTTTAGATATTTTGGTTTCCCTTGCCCTCACTGCCAAGACGTGCCTTTACAAAATATTAGCTCCCAAATACAGAAAGATTAAAAAATAAGATTAAAAATAAGAACTTACAGAACCTTTTTTTTTATTATGATTTTTTTTTTTATGGAAAGAAACTAAAGCCATTTTACAATGATGGAAAGAACTATGAGTTTTTAAAAGAAACTGAAGAAGTTTGCTTATAAAAATACCACAGAAGGGAACTTTCCATTTTCTTTTCCTGTCCAAGCAAAAATTCCAGTAACTTAGAAATGTTTTCATCAATTTGTTCTCCTACCCATTTGAAAGGTAAGGAGGAATAGCAGGGATGGAAAAACCCCTTATTTTTCCATAAAAATTTCCCATTCAAATGTTATTATGGTTCTTAGGGAAAAAAATTACCAAAACCCAACAAAACTACTTTGAGAAAAAGTCCCAAAAATGTTTTAGTATAAAATGTACTTTTAATGAAAAAGTAGGGAAGAGCTTTAGTAATTAAATGATAGACATGGAATACAAATGGATTACATGATGAACCAGATGGCAATTTCTTGACAAAAAGCATAGTTTTCTATATTGTCCAAGTTATTTATGATAAAACATAATTATTTTTTAAAGACGTAATGTTATTTTTAACCTCTGCTACTAAGATCACAGTAAATCACTGAATCTTGAGATTTTTAAAAATTTATTTTCCACATTTTTTTAAGGTTGAGATTTTGGGGGGTTTATAGATCTTTTCCGTTCGTTGGAATGAGAAGATTAAGTAAAGCTTTGATTTCTAGCACCTTTTTCTTTGTGGTTGAGGAATTAAATAGCCTGAACTCTAATTGAACTCAGTAGGAATGAAATTAAAGCTCAATGAAAAATGAAGCTGTGGTTCCAATGGTCACTGCAAAAATTCACACAAAAAAGTTCCCATTCAGAACAAAACAAAGCCAGTTGAAGTTACAGTAAAGCAAAATGTTTACATAATTCAAGTTCACTGAAATGCAATCTTTTGATGCTTTCTGACAAATTTCAAAAAATAAAAAAAACTTACGGAAAAACGTTATTTCAAACCATTAAAAAATGCTGCAACTAGAAGAAAAAGGTTGTGTCCAAGATGCTTCAGAATGTGTATTCAATTCAATTAGCTATTCAGAGTAAAAGTTGAAGAGTACTTTTAACCAGTTTCATCATGTAGGTAAATATATATTCCCCAAAAGATAGAGAGATAGATACATAGGCAGACAGATAGACGTTTGGGTTTTGAATCTAGTGTTGTCTAGCGAACACATTTCATATAATGCAACAAATAATTATGGAAAAGGATCAGAAAGCTTTCATTATAGCAGCAGAACCATAAATCATTCAACTAATTAGAAGCCCATTCTTCTTTCTTAAAAGAGCTTCAATTAACCTAGTTTATATGGAAAAAAATTACCAAGGGTTTTGAAAAATTGAGAGAAAAAAAATGGAAACAATGTTGCAGCTTCCAGAAGACACATAAATAGAATCACTTCACACTCTGACATGGTGGTTTGCCACGATGCGACCTAAAACTACCTTGACCTCCCTGAAATCAACATTTTTGCAATGAAATGAAACAAGATACATGCTTGTTTTGATGTATGGTTGTGTGACATATTATAAATATTACATCACATAACCACAGAGGATGTCAATCAATAAAGAATTTTTTCAGAGAGCACTAAATGAACCATGGGTTCTTGCCTCTGAATGGCTCCTTTAACGTTCTACTTTTGCCTAAATGATTAATAGGAGACATATTGTCAGAAAACATACTTAAAGTGAAAAACAGTAAACTGTAGAAACATCATTCATTTTTTAAGTAATTCTCTAGTGCATATGTCACATAAATTTACATAGAGACAGTACTATTAGACTCTCCTAAGCTTGATAGTAGGCATACCTTCCACTTAAGTGTGAAAGCAATGGGAAAGTATTTTATTAAATCTAGGCTGCTCTTCTTTGTGCAAATCAAAATGCTACAAGCTAAGGTGGATTCCAAAGTAGAATAATTAAAAGGTGAAAGTCTGTCAACAAAGAAATCCTTCTCAAAATATTTGAAATGAACCAGTAAGTATACACATATCTGGGACAGCTGTGCTGTCATTTCAACCTACAGCATTTCTGAGTGCATCAAATTCAAGCCACTTCCCAGTAAATCTGCTCATTGTCTTCTCAACTTTGTATTGTTTTATACTAACTCCTAGAGCAGAGTTTAGATAACACGGAGGTAAAATCAGATTTTTATTATATGCCTCTGAATACTGCAGGTGATCTGCTGATAAAATGTAAGCTCAGGCTCTGCAAGAGTTGGCAGTATGGTGACCAGTGCTGACTGGCTCCCAGTTGTCCCCAACTGTCATTTTCATCCATTGTGAAAAATGCCAGCACACAAAGACTGACATCAGGTATCAGATGTGAGCTGTGAAAATTACTTTTTTTTCTTCGTAATCTATGTCTCAATTGCCTAAAGGTTATAGCTAAGAAAATTATGTCACTTAGCAGACATTCCATAAGTTTTGGATCTATATTCACAATCATCATCAGTCACAAGTAATTTTATTTTTTAAAAATATAGCCCTTGTAATTTTTAACATTTCAGTTGGATCGGTTGGAATTATAGTATTTCATCAGGCTTTCATATTAAATTTCAGATCACCTTTTGTGTAATCTATCTCATTAAAATTACATTATAGAGATATTTTGGGAGTTTATTATTCAAATCTAACTGTTCTGAGTAAAGCAGCACAATGTAGTAGGAGTCCTTTCTTTTGTGTTAATAGTGTCTTGTTAACTATAGTAGAAGGAACTCAGCACCATACCACACAGGAGCAGAAGAAACTACAACTGGTTATCACAGTGTAGTGATTTATTTTTTTTTTATTGCCTGTCACCCTTAGTGTATGCAAATGTTGCCCTAGCTTGGACTTAAAAGAGGCAATGCCATGAGTAGAGGTATATGAGCATCCACATTCAGGAAATCCTGTCCACATCTGCTCAGCTCAAACATGTGTTGCACAGCATTGCAATATTGCTTGAAATAGGGTTCCTGAGAGTGATCTCATTGAAATGGGGTGACTCAAATTCCCAGGTGTTTCATTGCAGAATACAGCACAATGCTTTCAGGACAGAGTAGATGCTTGTTTGAGACTCTGAGTTGATTTTAGTTCAATATTTAAAAAAAACTCAAACAAACCAAAACTGATATGCCTTACCACATCTACAAGTGAAAACACTAACCTGTACCTCTGGTAGTCATCTTCATCCTTTTCTTTGCAGACCAATTCATTTGGGCAAGCAATGTTTCCAAGCAAACTGAGATACTGTAGTGAAGGCACAACTTCAGCCAAATGGTCCAAAAGGCTTTCTAATTCTGTTATGTGTCAAAGGTTGTGGGTTAAGGATTCAATGACATTAATGAAAAAAGCATTTAGAGTTGCATCACTGCTGATTTAAACATACATTTCAATAACTGACAATCAAATTTAGTATGGCATTCAGGAAAATGTCACATTAATTGTTCCAAGGGCAAACAGGGATAAACTTCAGTCAGTTTTTCTGCATGGAATGAAAGAATTGGGCTGTTTTGTCATTCTTTTCTCCTCCTTTCTTTCCTAGGTGGTTCACTACAAAACATTAAAACTTTGACAAAATGATGGATGCTGTGTGGTAAAATGGCTAGCAATTGCTGGAGCCATGAAACTTTTCCAGCATGGAAACAAACAGTTAGTTTCACAGCACATTCATCACTAATATATTCAGTCCACTGGAAAATGAGTTTAAAAAAAAAAAGAAAAAGAAAAAGAAATAAGTCAAACCACAACAACCCACGTTCACTCCCAGCATATAAATGCTTTGAGTATCATGGCAACACATTTGTAACTACTCAATTAGTATATGTCAATTAATGCTTTACTAAGGGCAACTTAAAGACTTCAGTGTTACAAATATTATATATATATGAAGCTTTAAAGTCGTGTAAAGCATAAATTTTTTCATTAAAATAGCTTTGTATTGTGACATTCTTGAGGCTTTTTAACTTAACCATATTCCTCAGAACACAGACAAGGATGATACACCTCCAATATCGTAAACTTAAATAAACCAAACAAGCAAAAAGGTTAAACTATCTTTAACCACTGAAATATTGGAAATCACAGCTTAGGTTTAAGCATAACAACAATATTCAACCATTTAAACCCTGTGACTGATCAAATTAAACAAATTATTTTGTTAAAGCATAGTGTGACTGTCTCTAAGACTTGAACTATGCATTCTTATTTACTTCAATTTACATATAAAGATATAAGTGCGATTCTGAAAAAGTATACCATGCATGTATGTGTAAAAAGTTTTTAATATTTAAAAATCGACTGACTCAGACAATAGTAATAATTATTCAAAAGCATTTATGGGCATTTCATAGCTCTGTTTTTAACCTCTCCTGCTGTTAGAGACCACTATTGTTTTAAATCCTCAGTTCACATGTGTTGCTACTATTTATATTTGATTTATGTGTTTCTGTTATCTTTGTTATTTTTAGCTGATGGAATTTACTTTATTCCTTCACCCCAATATCTCAAGGGCAACAGAAGCAATACGAATGGAATGAGCAGCTTTGCTGTTAAAAATGTGGTCTTCCTTTTGTAAGCCTGAAATTTTATTTCCAAACACACATGAAGATCATGCTGACAATTACTAATTTTAGTATACTAAAATCAATGTATATACACTCAAAGTTAATGTTCTATCCCATAAGGTCCAAGGAATCATACTCAAATATAAGTGAGAATGAGTGAGAAAAATGAGAGTTTGAAATCAGTTCTATGAATTCGTTAAAAAGGTAAGAATGCTAACTTTTAATTTGGCAAATCCGTATTATGGAATGCTACATGCCAGTCAGTAATCTACCAGACCATAAGAAAAATTATCTTTTTGTAGCTCCATATGATATAAATAATCTTTGTTGGCCAGGATGAATTACTAATCAAAATTTGTTGCTCATTCCCATACCTGGACCTCAAGCTCACACAAACCTTTTCACGGCTCTTTCAGGAAGTACATGACTGTGATGGGAAGCTCACAAACTGTTTTTCCACACATGTTCAAGTGAAAGGCTTTTTAAAAATTTCCTAAGACTGTTAGAGAAGTGCTTGAATCTGGCACTCTCCCTCAGCCAGAAGAAACACTTAATTTCTTGCAGGATTGCTTAAATTGCAAAAAGGTTCCTTGCAAGAAATAGCTTATTATTACAAAAGACAGTTATTTCCATAACAGTAATCACACACAGGAGGTTAGCTATTGCAAGGCTTAGATTGTATCTGGTCATTTCCTATCAAAGGAAAAAGAAAAAACACCTAAAACAACAAACAACAAATCATTGAAAAATTTTGCTTCTTTTATGGATTAAGCATGCAGGATTTTTGCCTGTAAATTCAGTAGAGCTTTTTCTTGTGTAGAAGCTTTTCTCTCCAAAAGTTTGTTGAATGTGGAGTCTGACAGGTATTCTAACTCCCATCTAAACATGCAGACTTCGGGGCAAATATCAAAATGTATTTTGAAATGTAATGAAGAGCAGTGTCAGCTTAGATACACAAAAAGTGTAAGAATACATCCCAAAGTCCTATGGAAAGCAAAAGGGAGAGGCACCACATTCACCAAGAGTTTTAGGTAAATAAAGGGAGTTGATAACCTGCATCTCAAAAATCTAAATCTCCCAAATTTGAAAGTTAGTGTTGAGATTCTAATGCCTCATATCTAAACCCTGAGCATGGATTTTAGATGCAGAGACATCCCCCTAAAAAGATCTCAGGCAAGAGAATCAGCAGTTATGTCATAAAAAAAGAGAATTCATTTTTCTGTTCTCTAGGACTGTAACTATCTTTTCTTATCCCTCTTAAAAACAAAACAAAATGTGAGGTACAGATTGATTTTCCACGAAGCCCCATTCACCTGCCATCAGAGTTATTCTTTACAAAGTGTGTAGGAAAAAAAATGATATCCTGTTCAAATTCTCATGATTAAGTATTTCTCAGAGATGAGTCATAAGTCATGGTGCACTTCTAGTGTACTATTTAGTTAATTAGCATGTCATATACTTATTTAAATCACAATACTGGAACTATATAATGCCACAAAAAGTGCTAAGTTTTTCTAAAACAATGCTAGGAAAATACAGAAGGAGACAATCAAAAGCAAGTCAGAAATTTTATTGCCAGCTTCCTTTATATGATTTATTGTTGCAGACTAAGTTGTGCCATATTGGTGCAATCAGACCCAAAGGGTTGCAGAATCCTGCTGTACCCCTTCTAAGACCAATTTCAGCTCCATTCTCTTGAAAAAAAGAAAACTCACTATTAAATCCATGGTCAGTGCTAGTGAAAATGCATTTATTTATTTAAAGCTCTGTGAAAATAGCCCTGGGCTGATTTTTCTGAAGTCAGTGTCACTGGTCACCAGGTGAATATGGAACAGTGATGCAAATACTTACACTATAGCCTATGTTTTGGAAAATGGTTTAAAGTATCACTGTTGTGACTTAGTGTAGTAATCCATCTCCTAATTTAAGTGTCATCATTACAAATACATTAATGCCCCTCTTTCTAACAGACACGGACTAAAATAAAAATTTGTAACAATTAAAATTTTAAACTATTCAACTCTATAGCTCACAAACTACAACATCAATTCTCAGCAATTGTACAACAATGATCCCCTCCAAGAATGTAACCTGGTTTCATGAACAAATAACAGAAATCTACTGGACATATCTAAAATGTCATCCTCATCCAAAGACTGTACTGACTTCTTGCACTTATTTCTAGTTTTAAATTAGGGACACATTTAAAAGAACTGGTTATCTCTCACAGATTAAGTTTTTCAGCCTCTTCACACTGTTACACATGTGTATGCCACACACACATATTTACAGTAGACTGTTCACAAGCATACATATGCACAAGCATACACAACCATATCACCACATTTTCTATTCAGAAAAGCAAATGCTACTAGCAACACTGAGATAATAGCGATAGAATTATTTGGAAAATACAGTACTATGATGGGTCCAGTTTAGCTGCAGAGCAATATAATTTTTTGCAAGTTTTATGCAAGCAAAAACAACATACAAATAGGCATGTTCTGACCTGTCTATTTTCACTCACTGCCTTGTACCCAATACCAGCATTTCTGAGGTTCTCTAGAAGGCAAAAAGAACAAGCAGAACCTCAAAGCAAATGATTTCTCTCTCTTCTCCGGCTAGGACTTGACTGTCTATGCAAGTTGTAATATTTTTGTGTGTTTGTTTTGTAGAAAATCCTGCAGCATGGATTAAAATTCTAGGGCTAGTCAGGGCTACATCCCCTTACAAACCCTTTAAAGATTAGCTCCCAGGGGAATATTCATTTGAACAAGGTCAAAGTTGTGAATTGAATGGATAGTGTGACACTTCACTTAGTCAATTTTAGGAGAACCTCACAAGCAGGGACAGTCATTTTGATGCTAAGCTGTGTCTCTTGACAGCCAGCATAGTAAAAAGATCATTTTTTAATACTTCTGAGAGGTCATGTGGATTCACAGAAACCTCTGGATGACGTCTCATGAGTTCCACTATTCTAGACTTCTGTATTCTCCAGATTCTCTTTAGTTGTGTCCATTTCCTAGCTCTTTCAGCATATTTCCAGGGCAGAGACACTGCATGAATCCTTTATAGAGAGAAAGGTCCAGCTGTGTTAAGTAGTTAGAACTAATGCTGGTCATTCCTGAACCCCATACAATTTCCTCTACCAATATTCTTGGTGCAACCATATTCATGGCTGCTCTCAGGGACAACTGCAGGTCAAACCTAAGCAGAAACACAACCTTTGCTAACAGTTTCTAAATTAATTTATTCTGTCCAAATTTATACATGTTTCCTATCTCACTACACAATTATTTCTTGCATTGAATTTGAAGCACACAAGAGAATTTGGGAGGTTTTTTTGTAAACTTTTTCTCTGCTAGCAGTTCTTTTTACTAGTCACACACTCAAATACAGAAAAGTAACCAGTTTTTCTCCATCTCAGTGCTTTCCAAGTTGCTCCACCATTTTCTTTCAAAAAAAGTCATGCCACTTCCCCAACAGAGTTGCAGGAGAGCTTTTCATGTTAAGGAACTTCAGTGATTACAGCTTTTGAAAGTTTTTGGAAGCAAAGAGGCAAAGTAAAGAGCAATCAGCTTTATATTCAAAATATTTTTGAAATATTTACATGAGAATATCAGGAATATCACACAGAATTGCAGGCCACCACATAGAAAGACCCAAAACTGTCTTCTGACAATGCAGGTGCTGCAATCAACTTTACAATAAAACAGCTGAATAACACTTCTACCAGGATCA